GGTCCTCTTTCCCGTTCATTACAGTGACCTGGTCAGCTCCTGCATCTGCAAATTCTGTGTTTTCCAACAGAGAAGAGCTACTCCAAGGACATGTGACAGTGCCCAAAGGCACATGCCCCAGTGATGGGTTTTCCTTCAAGTGACTTTCTTGTAAACCTGGGCTCCAGCCTGGGTGTAGAGGGTTCTGGCTTCCATCAGTGAGCTCCTGCTTCAGGGCTCTGCTTATTGGCTCTCTGTTAGCTATGCCATCTACTCCATCTGCTGTTAGTCTGTGGGAACTACAATTGAGGTTGAGTGACAGGACTGATCTGTGCATTTTGGGGCCAGCAATTTGAGGTTGCTCAATGGGGACAGAGAGAGACTTGTCTAAGTCACAGACTGAATTCGGACACTGCCGAGACACCCTCAGGTGGACACAGGAACTGAACACCACTGGGCCCTTTCCTGACGGTGGGGTGTTTGGAGAAAAACTGTTCCTTTTGTCATCCACTTGAGAGACCCAGTATGCGTGTTCTTCACACAGGCTGGCATGGGACTCAGGGACCTTCAGCCTCACCACTGAGCCATTTCTGGAGAATTCTGTGCAGGAGAAAGGTCTGTGATGCTGACGGAGATCTGCGCCACCAGACAGAGCAGCGTTCCCAAACAGAGAGTCCTCTGCCTTGCACTTGGTACATAGAGCGTCTCTCACAGTGCCCCACACCAGGGCGCTGGCTGGGCGCCCCACGCGCCTGGCAGTGATGGTGATGGATGCAAACCCTTTGCGGGGGCCACCGCATGAGCTTTCTTGGGGCAGCAGTTCTGAATCAAGTCCTGGCTCATGTGAAGGTGTCGCAAGTCCTAATCTGCCTGGAAGTAATGCGAATGCCCTATGAAGGTCGACTCTGCTGTGATTGGCCAAAGACTGCTTGGTGTGATATGCACTTGACTGGGCCAACGCACAGGGTACCTGCAACACCGCCCTATTTTCTCTTGACTTATTTTCATCAATCAGCTGCGAAATGACTATGGATGAAATCATTTTTGTGTTTTGCGCTTCCAGAGTCTCCTAGAAATGGAAAAAGATCTCAATTATTCAAGCAGTTCATTGTAATACAGGCAGTAAACTCCTTTTCAAAGGCTACCAGGATGCCAGAGAACTCAGTTCATAGCACTCAGCTTACTCTGAGGCTTTCTACTGCATGTTCAGAAGAGTGAGAAACCCAAACTTGTTTATGAAAAGTTACATGTTCTGAAAACAACCTGACTGGTGAATTGGTGTTCTGCTGGGTGTCTAGTCTTAATTTATTAATGTGTCAAGAGGTACATCTAATGCATCTACTTTTGATAGTTGCCACCCCTGAGCCATGAATACGCAGTCTCAGTAGGGGAGGGAAGACAGAATTCTGGAAGTAGGCTGGTACTTGGGGGTACAGGTTTATATGAAAGGTAAGTCAGCACTCCTGCAAGAAAATAACCAGTGTGGTTTTTAGGAAACAGTCTCCCTGCCTGGTCACCCTCAAAGTCCTCTACTTCTGCTGATTTAGATGCTAATTCAGTTGTTTCCTGCTGCTTGGCATAGCAGGCCTCAAAGTTCAGATAACAAAAGAGTGGAGATTAAATACTCACTCTTGCCCAGCCTGATGCTGTGACAAACAGATGATTCCACTTCTAGAATAGGGTTGAGAATGGACCAGGTCAAATGTAGTTTTGCCACATTTCAATGATCATTTGAATAAGCTATAGTTTTTGTCCAGAATAATGGTGGGTCCAAGATAGTGTGCTGATTCTTTGTGAGGCAGTTAATCAGGCTGAGACATAAAAATCTCATCTGTCCTTCTTTTATTTATTTCTATATGCAAAGCACTACAGAAAATGACATGGAAGACTGACTGTACTTCAGCACTTAGGGAATGCTCACAGGGTCCTGAGCCTACATTTGGAAATTCATTATCATATGTGCTTAAAATGAACCTTTGCAGAGGATTTAAAATACCTTTAACTACTAAGCTCCTGCCACCTCCAAAGAATTTTTGTTCTGGAAGCCTAAAGGCATAATTAAGGTGTTCCACAATTAAAGCAGCAGTTTCTAAACCCCAACCTGCATCTGAATCTCCTGGGATGCTACAAGTGCAGTTTCCTGGGTTCCAGAGATTCTGATTCTGTAGGTTGTGGAGCTCAGTCACCTGCATTTTAGCTGACATCCTGGTAATTCTTATGTAGGTGAGCACACTTGGAGAAACAGTCTTGAGCCTGCTGTTCCTCTTAAGAGCACACTTTTTGGAATAGAAGGGCCAGCATATATTGAGAGCTTTTCTCAAGATGTGATGAGCAAACACAGTGGCATTTTTTTTTTCTTCAGGACAGAATTAATATTCATTGACATACTCAAATCATTGAATGTTCTCCTCTAGCTGGCCATTTGACACTCCAAGTCCACATGGAGGATCATGTGCAATCTTAGCAACCTGAGAGGCTTTGTGTCTTTTTTGTCCAGCACGGAAGATGATAGCTTATTTTTCACGGAAATCTCCATCACCTTACACATGATCCTTTAGAAAAACACATATATGGGAAGTTGCAAATTTAAACGATAACAGGAAATGTGAGAAGAAAGGAGGGCAAGCCAAATGGTTCAATGGTTAAGATGACTGGATCCCACATGGCTGACCACATGGATCAAGTCCTGGACCTAATGGCTTGAAAAACACATGCCTAGTGCATGACATGTGTGCCCAAAATTCCGAGAGGAGATTGAAGAGGAAAATGAAGGAATATAGCATAGTCATCGCTCCTTGCCCAGGAGGGGATCCTCATATTCTCTCTTCTCCTCTGTCTCTCTCTGGTAGCACATGTACCCTGTAGCAAATTAAGGAGAGAGAGAGAACGAAGGAAGGAAGTCATTTTAAAGATTAATTTCAATAAATAAATATCAATAAATGTATCTGGCTACATTCTTCCAAAAAAATAAAATGATATGAGCAAAGAAAAGCACAGATAGTCAGTGTGCTAGCACTGAGCCAAGAATGGGGACATTCAAGCTCCTCTCTGGCCTGACATCTCAGACTTCCAAGTCATATCATGCATCAACTATCTTGAGGGAGGCTCCAATGTACATAAAGCAATGCCTGAAGCCCTATTGTGGGTAGGGCAACCTCTTTAGTGATTATCAGCCTAGGCTCATTAGTCATTTGGGAACTTATAAAAATCCCAATACCCAAATCTTGTTCCCCCTGTTATATTAGAATTTCTGGTTAGGGTGTAGGGGGAGATATACATTTGTGCTTTTTGAAGCTTCCTGTGTGCTTCTGGCAGGCAGCCAATACTTTGAATCTCCAGTCCCAATATTCCAGCATCACACGGTCCCTCTCCCCCAACCCCCTCTCCATATAGCACTTTTCATGGCTATAGTTTACATGTATAAGAAAACTGAAGTGCATCTGGTACCTATTTCACTTGATATACAGTCCTTCCCATTTTATTTAAATTTAGTTTCAATATTTTTTTCCACTACTCTACAGGGTACATAATCATACCCAGGAGGAACTCCTTTGACACTAGTCTTAGAAAAAAAGAAAATACCCATCTTGGAAACTCCAGTATCAGACTTATTTTAGAGTGCTTATTTTAATGTTTCCCAAAGTTTGGACCAGTGACTACCTACATAAAAAACACCTGGGGTAAGGGGATTGTAAAAATGCAGATTGCAGATATCTGGATCCCTTTCTCTCTGCCATATGTTGAAGCAGGATCTATGGGGGATGAGATTCAGAATTTTTTTTTTTTTTTGAGAGAGTTTTACTATAGGGCATATGTACTTACTGGAGAGACAGAGGGACAGGAAGTGAGAAATCACCTCATAGGGGGGATGGCCATGTCACAATCCCTTCTCCTCTCAGGATTCTGGGCACACATGCATATGTGCCCAGCATGAGTTTCAGGTCTCTGGGTCCGGGACTTAAATCATGGGTAGGCCATATGGGAGTCCAGTGCCTTAACTACTATTCTACCTGGTACCTCTCCCTACCACCACCTACCCCTCGACCTTTTTGTAAGGTTTTTGCCATCGGGCTTGTGTGCTCACGAGAGGGGGGTTGTGAAAGATCACTCCCTAGAGGGGATGGTCCTGCAGCCATCTCTTCTCCTTCATTCTCCTTCTGGAACTTTGGATATGTATGTACATATGCCTGGTGTGATTTTTCAAGCCACCAGATCTGGGACTTTGACCACAGTTGGCAATGTGGAATCCAGCACTTTAACTACCATGCCACCTACTGGCTCCCAGAATTTGTATTTTTAATCAGCTCCCAGGTGACTCTTCTGCACAGATGTGGTAGAAAGGATTCCAACGAGGATTCAGGCCACCTGAAGTCCACTCTGAGCTGGGGCATCCAGACTGGTACAGAATTTAAGACAAGGATAGAACAGAGGTGACTTTTGTGGGGCCTCAGGTCTTTTTACTATAGTCTCCAACATCAAGAGGGTACCCCACCTTTCTAAGAGACCCTTGGCCTTGGTACAAATGACAGTGTATTGTTAGGAATAGTCACTCTCATCTCGACCTGTAACAAGGATAAGAGACCCTGACTCTGGCAATGATCCATGCCTCAACTGGGATAGGGAGCCAGAGCCAGAGCTGAGGACCACATGCACTGAGTGATGACCTGGGGTTGCACTGAAGAGTATAGGCTACAGACAACACTCCAGAAGGACTTAGAGGTTCAGAAGTAAATAGTCACCACTTCAGAACCTGGGCCTGGCAATTGTGAAAATGATTTTGACTCTATCAGATGCAAACAGATGAGGGAATAGCAATAATGAATGGTGTGAACTTGAACTTATTTCTGAAGTTCTGGAATTGCTCTGTATATCAGGGTGATATGCCGCAATCCCTTCTCCTCCATTCTCCTCTCGGGATCTTGGGCACGCACGCACACGCGCCCGGCGTGAGTTTTAAGCCACCGGGTCCGGGACACGAACCGCGGTCGACTACGTGGGAGTCCAGCGACATAGCCATTACGCTAACTGCTGGTTCCCAACAGAGGTGACTTTTGTGGGGCCTCAGGTCTTTTTACTATAGTCTCCAACATCAAGAGGGTACCCCACCTTTCTAAGAGAGCCTTGGCCTTGGTACAAATGACAGTGTATTGTTAGGAATAGTCACTCTCATCTCGACCTGTAACAAGGATAAGAGACCCTGACTCTGGCAATGATCCATGCCTCAACTGGGATAGGGAGCCAGAGCCAGAGCTGAGGACCACATGCACTGAGTGATGACCTGGGGTTGCACTGAAGAGTATAGGCTACAGACAACACTCCAGAAGGACTTAGAGGTTCAGAAGTAAATAGTCACCACTTCAGAACCTGGGCCTGGCAATTGTGAAAATGATTTTGACTCTATCAGATGCAAACAGATGAGGGAATAGCAATAATGAATGGTGTGAACTTGAACTTATTTCTGAAGTTCTGGAATTGCTCTGTATATCAGGGTGATATTGCTCTAGGGATAAATACGGATGGAAGCCCAGTTCCGAAGAAAAAATTATTTGCCTGCTGTTCACAAGAAAGATGAGGTGCTAAAATGGTGATGGACATGAAAGTACCTCTCAAGCCAGTTCTGTGGCCAAGTGCTTAGGCAGCCAGAATCCATATGCCCAACTGCATGATTCAAGTCCCAGACTAGGCGGCTTGAGAAACATGCTGGGTCCATGCACATGCATGCCCAAAATCCTAAAAGAAGAGAGATGGAGAAGTGATTGTGGTGTAACTATTTCTCCATGGTGATTGGAGAGTTGCTTTCTCCTCTTTCTCTGTCTCTCTTTGGCAAGTCCATGTGCCCTCTAGCAAATACAAAGAAAAAAGAAATCTCAAAAATGCTTCTCATATGTGACATGTAATATAACTCGAGAGTATTACTTTCCTATGATTCAACAGAAATTAGCGGATACCTAATAGAAGCAAATCTATAGAAGAATAAGGATAATTTATATCAAAGTTATACTGTATTTTAGTGGAATTTACAATGAATGCATTTTAGCATATCTGAATTGTAGAAATGGAAATAAGTAA